CTGTGGGAGGATGTCTGAGGCGGAGGCAGGCGAGAGTGTGAAGTAAGGGAGTTGGTTGGGGTTTCTAGCCTCGGATTTTAATAATAAAGAGTAAGGGAGGGGGGTGGTTTTTGAATCCTGAAACCTGAAGAAGAATCCTAGAGAAGAAGCACCAGGAGGAGAGAGACTGGTGGTGCCAGCTGTTGCTGCCAACTGTTGTGGACTTTGGAGGCATCTGGACTGTGGCCATCGCTGCTGGCATAGGTGCTGGGATATTGCGGGGGGAGTTGCCCTGGGGGATGAGCCATTGCCATAACATACTGGCCGTCGTTGTTATTATTACCATCTGGTGCCGGGGTTTACCCCCCCCCCCATTTCATCGGATTCTGAACGATTGCTCAGGGGCCTGTTACTCCTGCCACTAAAGCAGCCCTGAGCTGTTATATACATCTTCAGAGTATCAACCACTGTGACTGGTTAAGTTCGTGCCTGAAAGCCCTGCTTCAACAAGAAGAGCCTGCCACCCATTAACGCTGCGTGAGTTCCGGTTGTAAGACATCTCATCGATCTCTAAAGAACATTGCTGCAAGGCTGGACAAGGGGGGACATGGCCGGGAGGGCCTGGGCATTGGCGGCCTCTGAGGAGGTAGCGCTACACCTGTAAGCAAAAACTGGTGGGATCATAAAATAGAGAAAGTCATAGAAAATGATAAAATTAAACTGCTCTGGGACTTCAGAATTCAAACAGACAAGCACCTGCAACATAACACCCCGGATTTAACAATTGTCGATAAGAAAGACAAAAAATTCTGGATAGTGGACGTGGCAGTGCCTGGAGACAGCAGAATAGACGAGAAAGAACTGGAGAAGATAACAAAATACAAAGACCTACAAATAGAAATAGAAAGACTGTGGCAAAAGCAAGCAAGGGTAGTACCAATAGTAATAGGCGCCTTGGGTGCAATCCCAAAACAACTGGAGCACCACTTGAACACCCCTGGCATTGACAAATTCGCTATTAGTCAATTGTAAAAGGCGGCCTTAGTAGGAACTGCTTCCATCCTGCGACGATATCTGTAATACCATCAAACATCCACATCTACCTAGCCCAGGTCCTGGGTAAGGACTCGATAGGTAGACAAATCCAGTCTGAACATTGGCTGACTGTGCGATGATCCATAATAATAATCAAAGTACAGAAAACTGCTGCAGGCTGTGAAAACAGAGAGCACTATAAAAATAACAGAAACAAAGGCAAAATATAAGGAAAAACAGCTGGATGACAGATTAAATAGATGGAAAACCAAAGCTTTGCATGGACAGCATTTGAAAAACATTGAAGAAAAATGTGATAACAACTTGACATGGGCATGGCTTAAGATGGGAACCATCGAGAAAGAAATGGAAGGCTTAATACTGGCTGCTCAAGAACAAGCACTACAAACTAATGCCATGAAAGTGAAAATACAAAAATTCACTGACAACCCAAATTGCCAATTTTGCAATGACAAAGTTGAAACTGTTTCACATCTAATATGTGACTGCAGCAAAATCGCGCAGACTACAAAGCTAGACATGACCGAGTTGCTAAATTAATTGACTGGGCATTGTGTAAAAAATACGACTTGCCTGTGTCTGAAAAGTCGTGGGAACATAGGGTGGAAAAAGTTGTTAAGAATGAGAGGGTGAAGATGTTGTGGGACTTTCGAATACAGACAGATCGCTATTTGGAACACAACACGCCAGATATCGCAGTTGTAGAGAACCGAAGCGTACAGCTGATTGATATTGCTGTACCAGGAGATGCCAGAATTGAAGAAAAAGAACTGGAAAAATTATGAAATATCGTGACCTAGCTATTGAAACTGCGCAATAGGCTAAAACGTGTAACAGTGATACCCATTGTCATCGGAGCACTGGGAACTATGTCCAAAAACTTTGCAAAATATTTCAAGAAACTGCAGCTTCCTGCAATAACTCCAGCAATGCTACAAAAAACTGCGCTACTCGGAACATTTTACATTTTAAGGAGGGACCTGGTTGATACCTGCAAATTGAAGTTGAGTGATTGTGGAGGAAGAAATCAATGGTTATACCAATAGTAATAGGAGCCCTTGGAGCAATAACCTGAATATTCTGACTTTGAAAAAAAAACCAAACCCTTTATTCGGGACTGCCTGTATACTCAGATGTTACCTTAGGTTAGGATTTGAACTGTTAAGTTTTTACCAGTCCCTGACTGTGAATTGAACTGAAGATTAAATCTTAAATAATAACAGTAATAATAACAGTAATAATAATAATAATGACAATAATAATAACAAAAAAATTAAATTTTACCTTTTCTTATTTCTATTGGAATAGAGTTCCACTGGTCACCAGTATGAGAAAGCGAAAACAGCCTTCAGTTATTCCCTCTTATTACCAAGCAGCAAGACATATCCCACACCCCCTTCCTTAACAAAGGATTGTGAAGGAAAGCAGCTTGCAAACTGCTTTACAAACTTACTAGAACGTTGCAGTGGGATGGATCAGAAACCACTAGTGTCAGCCTTGATAAAATCTTAATTGGCTTGGATTTCCCCTGTAAAGAAAAACCTGTGAGAAAAGAAACCTAGGCAACAAGACGCCTACTCATTATTGAAAAAGGATACTTTATTCTCAATATGAGCCTGCACAAATCTACACAGAGACAACAAAGATGTGCCCTTTCATTAATTCAGAAAACCCATGGCATCGCCTGTCTCCTCTAGGATTCTTAACCAGGCGGCCCACCTTGAAAGCAAACACGATTCTATGAAGATGCTCTTCCTTCCACAACTTTCTTGTCCTACTTTATAACCTCCATTAGTTTTGAGGCCACAGCTAGGAAGGTACCATTAAGCTTGCAGGCAGAGTTATGTGTGAGATGAGGAGGCTATATAAACTTGATAAATAAGTAAATCAATATTATTCAATTATAGTAGGTTATTTTTAACAGGGGTGGTGGCGTTTGACATTTTAATTACTTTAGGATTTATTTTGTTTCATTTTCCACATTATCATTTGCTACTGTACTTTTCAATTTGTTTCCCACTCCTGTTATTGAGTAAATATATCAAGTGTGCATATGCGCGTGTAAGCTAAAGATTCCTTAAAGTTGCTCTGCTCATTAGTGTTTTCAGGAGAGCTCAAACAGGACAAGATAATGCTGACAATGTGGCTTCGCCCCATTTTATATGTCACACTTGCCGCACATATAAAAAGTTTTAACTGTGTGGTTTAATCTGACCCCCACCCACAGATATTTCTGGTTCTAAATGGCCATTCCTATTTATTTATTTATTTATTTATTAAATCAATTTACTGCCTATTTATTTATTTATTTAATCCATTTACTCTGGCTACTCTGAGCAGCTTACAACGGTAAAACGGAAAAAATATTAAAACAAAATGTAAAAATAACAATAGCAAAGCAATGAAACAATAAACCATAAAGGTACAATAATTAAAAAGATGGGCAGAGAAGGAGTAGGAAGCGCCATGGGGAGGTGGGGTCAGCTAATTTGTCCAAGAACCACCTCCAGTGTGGTATTTTCCTATTGGGTCCCCAGGCCAAGCAGCAGAGAGCCAGGTTTTCAGGCCTAGTAATAATTAAACGTTCTAGAAGAGTTATTCCCTTGAGGATGGCACGCATTTTGGCAGAGAAGCAAAACAATAAAATTTATATTCAAATTAAACTGTCCTAAATACTGTCTCTAGTACATATGCGAAACTGATCTAACAGCCAAAAATGTATTATGCTGCTTTCCACCAGTAGGATGGACGTTCACCTAGAGGAAAAGTGGCCAATCATGTATGCTGTTGGCCTGCAAGATAATCCAGGCAAGAAGCAAAAGCAGGCATACTAGCTCTATCTTTATTGTAAGATTACATTAAAACAGAGATGGGAAACTATGGCCCTTTATGACTTGTGGACTTCAATGGCTGGCTCAGGAATTCTGGGAGTTGAAGTCCACAAGTCATAAAGGGGTCCTAGTTCCCCACCCCTGCATTAAAAGAATCCTGAATGACCGAAAGTATGTTTCTGCTCCTTCCTCTTACTTTCAGTAAAATATGGAGGGTCCCTTCTGAAACATTCTCACATCCTCCATCCTTCTGTGGGCTGAGATTTCTTTTACTTGTCAGTTGGGTGCTTAATGTTCTTCCTCCTGCCTCTCAGGGATATTCCCACACACCATTACAATGCTCACTGATCCTTTTGGAAATTATGTTTGCTTTCATTGTTCAAGGAAAGATGTTTCCCTTGTGCTCACAACTAGACAAAAAAACCTTTCAAATAATTTATGCAGCTGTACTATGCAGGTTGCAGAATGAAGCTATATCAAATGATGAAGTGGATTGGACTACATGCAACTATAAGTAGAACTGAAATATATATATTTAAAACAATCTCCATACAAATTAATAATAGAACAGAACAGAATAGAATTCTTTATTGGCCAAGTGTGATTGGACACACAAGGAATTTGCCTCCAGTGCATAAGTTCTCAGTGTACATACAAGCAACAAGTGATAAATCACGATCAACATAAGAGGGAACCAGCTAACCTAGGACCTGCTCAGATGGTTAAATTTGGATTTTCAGGGGGTTTTAAGTAAAACAATTTATTTATTCCAAACACTTCCATACCACTTCAATCACAACAACTCTAAGCAACTGTTTTAAAAAGACATGCCTTCCACATTCTAAACACATTCAGCTCATTCCACCTGTTGGCTGTGCGCAACCAGACCATAATTCTTGGGCATGAAAGTTCAATGGAATTTCTTTCAAGGAAGCAAAATAATGTCACAGTCTCAATGAAGCCTACCAGGTGATATCTGCACTTCAGAATACAAAGGTGTTAAGTATATAGCCATACCTGTACAAGAGGTAAGGATGGAAACAGTTCTGCGGGAGTTATTGGCTTGACAATTTCCTAAACACAGATATAAAGAAAAAGAATCACAAATATATCTACCAACAGAAAAAGAAAAAGAAATACAGATAACACAGATAAGCAAAGCTATACCAAAAAGAGGTTTGTGAAATAAACAACAGAAAAGCCAACTGACACGAAGAACTATTTCTATAGTCTATACTTTCTTTTTACAGTCAACCAATGGCTGATCTGCATGAATGAATTCTGCAAACCACAGAATAGTTGAGTATACTTGATACAAAGTGGTTTAGACTTCAGTTATAGGACAGATAAGCAAGAGAAAATATTTTCTTTTACATTTGAATTCTATACAATTCTATGAAGGCCCGGAATGAATGCACTGGACTTATCCAAGAAAATATTACAAAAGTAACAACCCACAATAAGCATCAACTAACCAACATTCATGATTCTGGAATCTTACAAAACTCAGCTGTTTCCTTACATTTTCACTGTAACCAGCAAGACTGAAAAAAAATGCTGATGATTCAAGCATGCTCACCATATGACTGTTTTTCTTAAAAGCCTAAAATGCAGCTCAGCTGCCATCCCAGTTTGAAATTATGTGGAGCCTTATGATTTAAGGATTTAGATGATGCAGATACTCTGACAGTCATTAACTGGCTGTCCCTTCTTCAAATTAATGCCCTCTGAATGTCCTGGAGTTCATCTTTCATCCTCTCTAGCTGAGAATAGTGAATTCTGTCACATCATGTGCATGTAAGAGACTCTGTACAGATTGTCCTCAATTAACAACCATAATTGAGCCCAGAATAATCGTAGTATATACCACATGACTGTGGTGGATTTTATGATCTTTTTTTGTGGGATTCGTTAAACAAATGTCACATTCATTAAGCAAACACTGCAGTTGTTAAGTGAATCCGTTTTCCCCAAAGGGTGTTTTTTGCCAGAAATCAGAAGTAAATACCAGGAACAGGTTTTAAAAAATGCCAAAAAAATGCGCTTACTATAAATGCAAGCCAGTTGCCAAGTGCCCAAAATGCAATCCATGTGGCTGCAGGCTGATGCAGGCTTAGGCAACAGGTCACAGGCAGCTCTGGGGAGATCCACTGTATCTTCGAATGGTTGATTAGCAAGGATTACCTTATATAGAGCCTGTTTTTCAAACTTGGCAACTTTAAAATGTGTGAGCTTCAATTCCCAGAATTCCCCACATAGAATTCTGAGAGTTGAACTCCACACATTTTAAAATGGCAAAGTTTGAAAAACACTAGCACAGAGGCTGTATACAAAGCAAGGCCATGCAAATCCTTTGAAACGGGGGCTTTGTATTCAGAATGCCTTATTGAATTATTCAAGCAGCTGTTTCTTTTCTCAGATTTTCATGGGTGATTCAGAGACTAATTCCAACTGTCCCCCCACTCACTTTGTTGCCACACAAAGATTTATCACTGCCCAGACACAAATATCCCACCATCTTTTGTCCAGTAAAACAAATACCAGTTTCTTAACCCATCTTCTCTGGGGAGATGGGTGGTTAAGAAATATGAAATAAAAATAAATAAATAAAAACTCAGCAGTTTTCTAACCATTCAAAGAAGATGCATTTTTTTGTAAAATAAAGTAAAGTAAACTGATTATCTAATGCACAGAAATTACACTACTTTCGTTGTTGTGTGTGCTCTGCTCTAGCACTCTTTACCCTCGTAGAAGGAATTCACTTTTATAAGCCTACAGAGGCATCAACTACATAAGGTCATAAAGAAAAAATGTTTCAGATAGAAGACTTACTTTTTTCTTTTCTTCATAGTTGACAACATAATTGATTGCTACAGCTGAATAGCCAACTTAAAAAAGAAAACATAATACAGATAATCAAGAGAAGCAGGATATTCAAAAAGAAAAAAAGCATTTAAGTTGATGCAACTGGTCCTTGTGCTGCTTTCCATGTATATACCAGATGATTTCCTCTGTCTTATTCTGAATTGCAATACACAATTTATGAATATACATATAAAGTTTACTTATTCTCAGATACCAAAAGATATTGAGCTTTGGACTGAATTACACACAATTGTAAACAAAATTATTTCCATCTGAAGACCCAAATATGCTTAAGATAAATTTCACTATCGTTTTCCAGAGTGTCAAGAACAAGTCGGTAATTAACTAAAAGAGCCCTGAACAATATTATATGCTTGGTGTGTTGCTGTTGTTCAGTTGTTAAATTATGTCTGACTCTTTGCGACCCCAAATATTTCTGTTCTGATTTTATGCATGTATCAATTCTAACAAATGAGAATAAAAAGTTAAAAGTAAAACTGTGTGACTGTTTGGCCTAGGGGTTAAAGCACCAGGCTAAATCCGGGAGATCTGGAGTTCTAATTCTGCCTTAAGCATCAGTCAGTCTCTCAGCCCAACCTATCTCCCAGGGTAGTTATGGGAAAACTAGGAGGAGGAAGAAATATTAAGTATGTGAGTTGCCCTGGAGAAGTGGCAGGAGAAAATAATTAAATACATAAAATAGTTCTTAACACAATCTTCAAAATATTACACACACATACACTAAAAAAAACCTAGGTTATATCATTTGGATGTGTTTATATCTAACCTTTTCTTAAATTTTTACTATATATATTCCAATCTTCACAAATTCAATGGACATGCCTGAGGCTATCCTAACTTACACCAGATCTTACAGCCGTGATTTTCACTTTTTGTAGTAATCATCTTTAAAATAAATAAATGTGAGATTATGGTCCCTGAGCACACCCTGAGTATTTATTATTTGAAGGAAGAAATGCAACCATTTCACTTCAGTCTGTGAAAACAGTAACAATGGGGAAACAGGTAGCAATGGGTAATAATCAAAAGCATTTCACATCATACAGTACATTATTTCAAGAGTCTTTACTCGTCTTATTTCAATTTTCCAAAAAGGATGCTTGTGTCATTTCTATTCAGCGTGTTATAGGATTGAAAGCAAGAGCTTCCTAGCTAACTTGCCTCTTGGCTTCCCTACTCTACACAAAACATTCGCACAATCTGACGGTGATGAGATTGAATGGCAAAAGGGAAACCACAATCTCTAGTTTAGGCTACCTAACGGATTTCGATTAAACTCGGAAACAGCGGAGCCGTCTCCACTTACCCCAGCCGCCCTCGCCTTTATAGAAGGCATCGATCTAAACTCACGGTGCGCTGCAGCCTCCACCAATTTCTGCAATGCTTCTTTCTCCGGCAAGTAGAGAATATTCAGGTCCGCAAACGCAGCCATCTTCCATCCACGTGGGGACCCGCAGGAGCAAAACGAAAACAAGACTTGCGCCTTTAACATGCTTTGCATGTTGGGAAATGTAGTTTTTCCATAAACTTACTTTTCCAGAGTTGGCTAGTGTTCGTTTTTCCGCAGAGCGCGAAAGGAAGCAGCGTACGTGCGGTGTTCAGCTGTAAATTATTTTTTTTTAAAGGAAAGGAACAAGAAAAATGTTATTTGTGTATTTATGTATTCTTCAGGAAGTGGTGGTTGTTTCAGTCTTTAATGGCGTCTCTGCATTTAACAAGTAAATCTGTGTTTCTCAAACTTGGTAACTCTTAAGATGTGTGCATTTCAATTCCCAAAATATTGGCTGGGGAATTCTGGAAGCTGAAGTCCACATATCAAATAAATGAATCCAATCCCATAACTGAATAAGGTTTTGTGATACTCTCCAAAATGTTACAGGAAACTTAAGTGTGCTTTCAGATGTCCCTGAATTCTCCGTCCAGCAAGAAGTTGCAGAAGAAAACGTTTCAGAAGAAAAAGAAGAGGGAAAGAAGGGGGAGGGGACCTCACATATTAGGCCAGTTGTTCTAACCATTGCTTATGGTCTATGAGATTTGTTGTTCAGTCAGATTGAATGCAGGTCAGCACTCAGAGACAAAATTAATGGTTGGTTTTCTCTACTGTTACATGCTCCTGGCTACTTTATTTCGTGACCAGAGAATGTCTCTTTCAATATTAAATTTTGAAGACCATTTACTTATTCCGTTGATGTCAACCTTGGCATGTCACATGACGTGTCGCGACGTATTGCGACTCTTTGCATTGTCGGCAATGGGGTGGGCGCGGCTTCGGTATGATGAAACCGGCCCGTGGGCCAGCAGTTTGGCAGATGTGATCTCAGAACCACTGAACTATATTTTTCAAAGATCCTGGAGCATTGGGGAACTACCAGAGGACTGGAAAAGAGCTGATGTAGTTCCCATCTTCAAAAAAAGGAAAAAAATAGATCCAGGAAATTACAGACCTATCAGCCTGACCTCAATACCTGGGAAGATTCTGGAAAAGATAATCAAACAACCAATCAGTGAACACCTAGAGACAAACAAAGTCATTAAAAGCCAACATGGGTTTGTCAAAAACAGATCATGCCAGACAAATCTTATTGCATTCTTTGACCAAGTGACAAAATTAGCGGATCAGAGGAATGCTGTGGATATAATTTACTTGGACTTCAGTAAGGCATTTGATAAAGTAGATCACAACCTACTACTTGATAAGATAGAAAAATGTGGGTTAGACAGTATCACCACCAGATGGATTTGTAGCTGGCTGACCGGCCATACTCAGCGTGTGGTCCTCAATGGAACTGCATCTATATGGAAGGAAGTGTGTAGTGGGGTGCCCCAGGGCTCTGTTCTGGGCCCAGTGCTCTTCAACATCTTCATTAACAATTTGGACGAGGGGATAGATGGGGAACTCATTAAATGTAGACGACACCAAGCTGGCACTCCAGAAGATAATCTTAAGATACAGGAGGATCTGGACAGACTTGAACACTGGACGCTATCTAACAAAATGAAATTCAATGGTGAAAAAAGTAAGGTTCTACATTTAGGCAAGAAAAACCAAATGTACAGGTATAGTATAGGTGGTATCTTGCTCAATAGTAGCAACTGTGAGACGGATCTCGGAGTCCTAGTGGACAATCACTTAAATATGAGCCAGCAGTGTGCTGCAGCTGCCCAAACAGCCAACACAGTGCTAGGCTGCATTAACAGAGGGATAGAATCAAGATCACGTGAGGTATTAATACCACTTTACAATGCCTTGGTAAGGCCACACTTGGAATACTGCATCCAGTTTTGGCCACCACAATGTAAAAAAGATGTTGAGACTCTAGAAAGAGCACAGAGAAGAGCAATAGATGATTAGAGGACTGGAGGCTAAAACATATAAGGAACAGTTGCTGGAATTGGGTATGTCTAGTTTAATGAAGAGAAGGACGAGGGGGAACATGATAGCAGTGTTCCAATATCTCAGGGACTGCCACAAGAAGAGGGAGGCAAGCTATTCTCCAAAGTGCCTGAAGGCAGGACAAGAAGTAACAGATGAAAACTAATCAAGGAGAGAAGCAACCTAGAACTAAGGAGAAACTTCCTGACAGTTAGAACAATTAACCAGTGGAACAACCTGCCTCCAGAAGCAGTGAATGCTCCAACACTGGAAGTTTTTAAGAAGAGACTGGACAGCCATTTGTCTGAAATGATATAGGGTTTCCTGCCTGAGCAGGGGGATGGACTAGATGACCTCCAAGGTCCCTTCCAACTTTATTATTATTATTACCCCTGACTTATTCCTATCACCACTAACCAGAAGTTTTAAAAACACAAAGGCTAATTCAAATGTACTTTCCAAATGTGATAAATAAATGAAGCCTCTCATGCAGCTGGACCTGATGCACAGAGTAGCCAGCAGCTTCTCAGCAGCCTGTGAAGAAATAATAGTAATTACCCGCAAATTTAGGGAGCAAATATTCCAGAGTGCAGGTACAAACCATGGAGAAGGCTTGTTTGTAAGTGACCCCAAGTTGATGGTCTCACCCTCTGCACACATTGCAATGGAAAAACAGCAAGCATAGGTTGTCAGGAATCCTGATTTTCAACTCCTTTTGGGACTTATTTTTTGAAAATCCTTATTTGGTATCCAACTTCTCTAGGCCGCTCCATGATTGACCTGTATGTTTCATAACCTTGTCATAACACCATTCTTCCAGTTATAGCAATAGATCTCATGGAAATCTTAAGGTTTCTTCCTGTAGATAAAACACAATGACATTTCTCTGCCAGATCCCAAGATCCTGTTTGAGAATTGCTGTCTCATTAAATTCAAACAGAACCTCAACATCCCTTGTCCCAGTTCCAGCATCTTGGAAACCACAGAATATTACGTATGGAAAAATATATACAGGTAGTCCTTGATTTACAACCTAACCAATCTTAGGAGTTATGACAGCCTTGGAACGGTAGGGGTCCCCAACATGTGGGCCCTGGACCACTGATGGGCCATGAGGGATTTGCAACTGAGCTGTGGAAACAGCTGGTGAATGCACATGCATATGTTCATCCTTACTTGTGCAAGCAGCGGGCGAGCGTGTGTGCGCACGCTCCATTTGCATAAACGGCAGTCACATGCATACACACCACTTGCAGAAATGAAGCTGCTTGTGTGCACGCAAGCTTGCACAAACCATCCCCTCCCTCCCCTGCCAGTCTGCAAAGCCAGAAATGTTGGGGAACTCTGCTTTATGGCTTGTAAAGCACTTCTGATTGTTGTGAAATGCCCCCCCCCTTCAGTCACATGACTGCATTTCAAGTGCTTGGCAGTGGGTTTACCTTTAGTTGCAATGTCCTGGGGTCACATGATCATGATTTGCAACTTTTTTGTCGGTTTCTAGTGTCTTCTGCAAAAAGTGCCCATTCAGAAGAATGGGTTTGCTTAATCGCAGGTGTTGCTACTTACAACAAAATTTCTGGTCCCAATTGGGATCATAAGGTGAGGACTACCTGTGTAGTTGTTTCTTTTCCTAGAGGCAGTTTATTGCAAATGAGTGAGAAATTGATATGGCACCTGTATCAATTAAAATAAAGATAGTCGTAGCACTTTAAAGTTGCGCTGTATTTGGCCTGTTTATTGAAATTAACTTTCCTCCTTTTTCCAATAACTGATATGAAAGGTGTTGTTAAGCTTTTTAAATTACCTTCACCCTTTTCTGCTGTATATGGCCAAGGGAAAGATGCACCAGCAGTTTATAACCCATGTAAAACCCAAACAAAATATTCACAACCACAGATGGTGTTGTTGCCTTTGGGTAGAGTAGACAAGTTGTTTCCCTAGAACAGGTTCTTGATAATGATTGAGAGTGATTTTTTCAGTGCACAAAATGACCTTTCCTGTAAAACCCAGAAACAGAATACAAATTGTTGCTGCTTTCTTCAGTGCTACATCAAATTGTGCTATTTCATGGGCTTTTCATTCATCAATGACTTCATATTTATCTATGCTATAGTATTATACTGTGGGTGAAATATAGCACCCAAAATATAATAAACCAAATAATTATAATACAACAATAATAGAACAATCAGAAAAATGTACAACAATGATGAGGAACATTTATTTTTTTAATCATGAAATTTGTACATTGCCTGATTCCCAACGACTTTGGACGATTTCAGTAAAAAACAGAAACCAAAACCAAAACCAAGGAAACAAAGAAAGCAAAAATAAGAAGCAGATGCACACTGCCCAGAAGGGCCCTCTAAAATCATAGCCAAGGGTCTGGACCAAGAGCCAGGTCATTGAGGTTTTGGTCTCAAAACTTAACTAACTAAAAATGATCCATATAATATTAATACAGAATTAGTTTTATATTTAACACATTATTTATAGATTATATATATTGTCTGGCAAGACCAAGGAAGCAAAAATGACATAGATTTCAGGAAGATATGTTTGATCGGGGTTTTTTTGTTGTTGTTAATGTTGACTCCTGGCTGGACTAATCCCTACAATTTTCTTGGCAAGATTTGTCAGAAGGAGTTTGCCTTTGCCAACTTCCTAGGCTGATAGAAAATACTAATCCAAAGTCACCCAGCTGGTTTTGTGCCTCAGATGGAATTAGAACTCAGTTTCCTGGTCTCTAGCCTGATGTCTTAATCACTATATCAAACTGGCTCTCATCTTTGAAGCTAATTTGCAGTAAATACAGAATCTTGAAAATTAGAAGAGGAATTCATGTGGCATGGTGACACCCCGCTTGAGATGCTTAATTTCATTATCAGATGAGCAGTGGAACCCATGAGGCAAAAAGGGCTTAGCAACCTTGGGTGATCTTGCATCTGGAACAGCTCAGTGGTGTTTGGTCATCTTACAAACCATGTAACCTGGATCACTATGCATTGAACCTTGTGTGTTCCTCTAAGGAACTTCAAAAGATGAAACACCAGCAGAGATTCCAAGACCACCATTA